GTATCCCAGCCATGGCGTGCATCGAGATTTCAGGTTCCTCACTGAAGACCTCAGTCTCGTCCTCCTGAGGCAGTTCCTCCTCGACCTCATCCTCCTTGTCGTCCGGATTGGCCACCTCAATTAAAAAGGCTTGCTTGCACTGATGCCCCGGAGTGAACTTCTCCTCGCACTTAAAACAAAGACCCTTCTCACGTCGCCGCTTGACCTCCTCGGGAGACAGCCGCCTTACTATCGACCCTGCTGGCCGATTGCTAACGTTCGGTCGTGCGACGGCCGTGGCTGGGTTTGATCCCGTGCGACGCGTGTCCGCGAATCGCACATCCACCCGTCCCCTTCGCGTGGCGACGAGGTGATCTTCCCGACGTCGTGCTACTTCCATCGCGTCGTGCATGGTGTCGGGCCTCTCGAGCCGAACCTCAGCAGCCAAGTCAAATTTCAACCCGCCGATAAACGCGCCAACTAGTGCTTCTTCGGGCCAATCGCGCACGCGGCAAGCCAATCGTTCGAACTCCCTGATGTATTCGCGTAGATTGCCCGTTTGCCGTATGCGCGTGAGAGCCTCATTGTAGTTATGATAATCAGACGTACCAAATCGCGTAAGAAACTCTCTCTCAAAAACATCCCAAGTAATAATCTGCTGTCGTTTGCGATAGATCCGCATGAGCCATTGCCACCATACATTGGCTTCACCATCAAGGTAATAAGCTGCATACCTCACGCGATCGGGACCGTCAGTTTCATTAAGCTCAAAATATTGTACTGCCCTGTGGAGCCATGCGTCCGGGTCGCTGCCTGTGAACGTGGACAGCGTGATGCGCGGCTTGTCGACCTTCGGATGCTCGCGGTACGTGGATGCCTGGGATTGCCTATCGAGATCGTCCTCGCGTTCGGGCCCCTCGCGTCGCCGTTCCTCTCCTTCGGGCTGTTCGCGCTCGTGTTGTCGCGCCTGGTCGCGTTGCCGCGGCGGTGGCAGGCGGGCGAGAACCGTGCGCGCCAGCTCATCAAATCGCCGGTTCATGGTTTCCATTAAATCTTGCACCGTGGATTTGGTATTGCCGAGTCCTTCACCCAACGTTTCGATAGCCTCGCTCATACTGCGAAATTGGACATCGAGATTATTGATCTTGTCCTTCATCTCTTTATTGGCCATAGCTTTCTTCTCTTGCTTACGTTCCTTGCTTCGAGGACTCGTTTTTGAAGATTTTTTTTTTTTTTTATAGGAGGACGAAGAAAATTCGAAAAGAAAAAGAAAGGGAATGGGGTAGAAGAAAAACACACGATCAACACCTCTCAATGAAAGCACCAATGATGAGGATCGTGTGTTTCGACTGCCGATAAGCCACAAACCAGTGCCTTGAATCGCCGATAGTGCCTAGAGGTTCACAAACCGCACCCCTCTAAACGAATATAATTGCTATAGAATCTTGGTGAAAAACTAAAGCAAAGAGGATGAACAAAAGTTCTTGAGTTCTTATTAATTTCTTGGATGATCCAAATAACATGAGGGAAGGGGCCTTTATAGAGGCACCAATTTATATCTAGTCCTAATCTACCTAGGGAAATAATTAAGCAATAAAATATTAGGAATCCTAAACAAGCTAGAAAATATAATACTAGAAGGAAACTAAATAACTTGTCTTGCACTCAAAGTCTTTCTCTTTCTCACTTCGGTCCACGCATGCGGCGCCCTACCCGCGCGCCGCCTTCGTCCACGCCCTAGTCCTTGAGGACTAGGGCACCGCCATCAGCGCGTGCGTCGTCATCCGGCGTGGTCAGCACGCCAGCGCCCAGCGCGCCTGCCCCATGCGCGTGTGCTGCCGCCAGTCCGCATTCCTCAAGGAATGGGGTCGCGCGCCCCGCGCGTGCCGGTGCGCCGTCCACTTTCTTCGCGCGCTGCTCCACTGCGCCCAACATGCGCGCGTGCTGTCCCGCCTTCCCGCATGCCTTGGGGCATGCGGCTTCGTCCGTTTCGCCCAAATCTCGTGCACCCGACCTTTCCGCGGGCGCGCACATCGACCCCGCGGCACGCAAGCCATCCGCACACGCCGCCCGCACATCCGCGTGCGGCGTATCCACGCCCGTTTCTCGTGCACTCCACTCTAATATGCGCACTTCCGCCGTTGCCCGTGCCTGTCTCCTGCGCGCATGGTAAGCCCGACTTGCGGCGTTCTTGAGCTGCCTAGCCACTTCCGCATCATTCCCGTCCCCTTCAAGTGACTCCTTGTCCTCAAGGATGAAATTTGGGAACTGATCGCGTATCTCATCAAGATCTTCCCACGTGGCTTCCTCAGATGGCAACTCTTCCCAGTCAATAAGCACTTCCCAACGATAACGCCCTGCTCTCTTTACCTTTCGATACTCAATGGCTTGTTTGGGGCGTATGATAGCCCTGCCGTCGGTGGCGGTAGTTGGCAACTCCTCACAGTGCTTTTGCGCTTCTCCCAAACTCCTCTTGAGTTGCGAGACATGGATAACAGGATGGATTTGTGAGCTTTCAGGTAACTCAAGGCGATAAGCTACTTGACAAATGCGCTTTAGAACCTGGTAGGGCCCATAGTAGCGATCTCCCAACTTAGTCGCGGCCCTTTGCGCTGTCGTGCGTTGTCTGAATGGCCGTAACTTCAAATAGACATACTCGCCTGGTGTTAAATTTTCTTCCCGCCTTCTTCCATCTGCGTAGGCTTTGGTTCGATTGATCGAACCTTCGAGGTTTCTCTTCAGCTCACGTAACATCAAATCTCGTTCCTCTAGTTCTCGACCAACCTCATCATTAACTGTACTCCCTTCAGAGTAATTGACCAATGTTGGGGGTTTTCGCCCATAGACCAACTCAAATGGCGTCATCTTGGTCGACTCGTGGTAAGTGGTGTTGTACCAATACTCTGCCCATGGTAAAAAGTTCTCCCACCGCTTTGGGAATTGATGGACGTAGCATCTCAAATACTGCTCAAGGGTTCGGTTGGTTACCTCTGTTTGTCCGTCTGTCTGTGGGTGATAGGCTGAGCTCATAGATAAATTCGTTCCTTGCAGCTTGAAGAACTCAGACCAAAAACTGCTCATAAAAACTCGGTCTCGGTCAGAGACAATGGATCGAGGTGCCCCATGCAGTTTCATCACATACTCCACGAATAACCTGGCAATGGATTTTGCGGTGTAAGGATGGGTAATGGGTATGAAGTGGGCGTACTTCGTGAGACGATCCACCACAACCATAACACCGTCAAACCCATTAGAATTTGGTAGCCCTTCGATGAAATCCATGGTGATGTCTTCCCAAATCGCCTCGGGTACTGGTAAGGGTTGCAACAACCCACCTGGCCGTCGCGAGTCAGACTTAGTTCGCTGACAATCGTCGCATCGTGCTACGTAGTCCCGGACGGTACCCTGCTGTCCCGGCCAGAAGAAAGTGTTGGCTATCCTCATCCATGTGCGGTAAATACCCGAGTGACCTCCAACCTTAGAGTTATGGAAGTGCTGCAAGATCTGTTCGCGCAACTGCCCACTGTCGGGGACATAGACTCGTCCTCGGTGTAGAATTAGATCGTTGTGCAGCTCGTAGTCGATGGCAGTTGTCTTACCTGCTTCTATCGACTAGCGCAGCTCCTGGCAATGGGTGTCCTCCACTTGTGCCTTCCGGATTTCCTCCCAAATGGCCCAAGTAGGCCCAGTGATCGCACTTAACTCGGCCACGTCTGTTCGCCGGGATAGTGCGTCGGCTACTGCGTTCTGGCGTCCTGGTCGATAGATTATCTCAAAATCAAACCCCATGAGTTTAGACACGAACTTCTGTTGTTCGGGGGTAACAATCCTTTGCTCCAGCAGGTGCTTGAGCGGTTGTTGATCGGTAACAATCTGAAATCGCCGGCCTAGTAGATAAGGCCTCCAACACCGTACAGCCTCAACAACTGCTAACATCTCTTTCACGTATACTGACAGTCCCAGTCGAGTAGTGCCCAACGCTTTGCTGAGATAGGCTAGGGGTCGCCCCTCTTGCACTAACACAGCCCCAATTCCAATGTCACTTGCATCGGTATGCACCTCGAACAAGACATCAAATCTGGGCATGGCGAGTACTGGCGTTGTTGTCATGGCTTCCTTCAATTTTCCAAACGCCTTCTCGCTAGCTTCGGTCCATGTGAATCCGCCTTTCTTAGTCATTGCTGTCAGTGGCTTAGCGATGGTTCCATAATCTTTTACAAACTTCCGGTAGTAACCTGTAAGCCCCAAAAATCCTCTCAACTGCGTGAGACTAGTTGGCTTAGGCCAGTCGACCATAGCCTCAATCTTTCGTGGGTCGACCTTCACACCGTCATGGGATATGAAATGACCAAGGTATTCAACCGTCTCCTGCCCGAATGAACATTTGGACGGTTTTATGTGAAATGAGTTGGCCTCCAGAATCTCGAGTACTACTCTCAGATGCCCAAGATGTTCGCCCCATGACTTTGAATAAATCAGGATATCGTCAAAGAATACCAGAACGAACTTACGCAGATACTCCTTGAAGATAGAGTTCATGGCGAACTGGAAAGTGGATGGAGCGTTGCATAAGCCGAATGGCATTACCAGATACTCATAGTGTCCTTGGTGTGTACGAAAGGCTGTCTTTGGAATGTCGGCTTTGTGAAGTCGAATCTGATGGTAGCCAGCCCTAAGATCGAGTTTAGATAAATAGCGTGATCCGGCTAACTCATCGAGCATATCGTCGACACTGGGAATTGGAAATCTGTCCTTGATGGTTGCAGCGTTTAGAGCTCGGTAG